CCACATAGATACTGCACTGACATCAGAATGCTCAACCTTGTAGAGCCTCGACTCCCAAGGACGGCAGGCACTGATTGGCGCGAACATAGGGGGAGGGACTGTGTGGACATACCCCAAGTGCTGCAGAAACCACACAGGATAGTACGGCTCGACGATATTGCGGTACCAAATTAACCCGCAATAAATAGTCCTCGGCTCTATCTCGTGCGGGGTAGAGGTGCCGTATGGCAACCATTGCACCTGTTCACATTTGCATAACAACATTTATAAAAATATTTATATTATTTTAAATAACGAGTAACTAAATTTAAATAAAAAAAATTACGTACATCGGAGGCAGTGAGCATGTCAAGTCTCCGACGGATGGTCATGAGACGCTCGTCCTTCCTCTGACCCGCCGGTGGGCTCCACATCTGAGATCGTGCGGAGTCGTTAGGACCGAGGGGTAGACGTCCCCCCTGGGGTCGGAAATCGGGGAAATACTCATAAATCCAAGACTGCATAAGAGTTAAGCAGCCGGAAAGCTGTTTGGAGTCCCCTCCACTGGCAATACCTAACTGTCAGTACAAATATGCCAGCGTAGCCGATCCCCACGAGTAACCACCAATGGCATCCATGTCGTTAAGCACCTCAGCTAGGAGCTTGGGAGTCACTCTACTACCACTCTTGTCGCCGAACAAGGTGGTAGACAGCAGCAACCAAATCCAGGCACCAGCCTCATCCAACGCCAACTGGTCTTTACCCCAAAATTTCTCCACAACGGAGCCTTCTGCCACACAACCGGCTGCCAGAACGTCCCAACGAGGTCAGTCTTACTGACCGAAAGTATATCCATGCAATAATCCTGGTAGGCCTTCGTATCCGGCTCCTCAACGACCATGGATCCCTCTACAGAAATTTCCAAAATAGCCCAGACATCGTGCAGCATAATGCTCATTTCACCAAAAGGCAGGTGAAATGAGTTAGTATCTGGCTGCCATCGCTCCAGAAATGCAGTAAGCAGTGGAGTGTCCAAGTGGGCGTGCATGGAGTCTGCTAGATGTGACAGTCCAGTACCCTTGATCATATCAAGTGTCTCGGAAGACATATCACCTCGCC